GGGATGCCCCCTCTGCGGCCTCTCCTCCCCCCAACCGCGCTCTTACCACCGGGCCTGCCGCCGGCACCTACGCCTCTGGTCATAGGCTTGGCCTTGGCCTTCCTGTTCTTGCTCCAGTAATACACCAGCAGCAGCAAGCCGAGGGTGACGCAGATGTCGGCCACGATGATCCCAGCCACGGCCATCACGTCCACCTCCATGCAGTTCTCACACACTTCGGGCGGGCGCGGGGAGGGGAGTCACCGAGAACGGAAGGCACAGGGCGCTGGAGACGGGGGAGGGACCGACGAAGCGGTCCTCCCTTCAAACCTCGCACGCTGGCCACCGCCAGAGCCGAGCCTCGTTCAGCATGTTTAGAACCACCACGAAGTGTGGCCGTTACGGGAGAAGCTCTGGCGTCAGGCAGTCTGGCTCAAGTCCCAGCTCCATTGCTCACTGGCTGTGAGAACGGTGAATGTGCTTTCAACCCCAAAGACTGTTCCCTCGTCTATATGGGAATAACATGATACTTCACTCATACGGTTGTTGGGAGGACGACATGAGAAAAAAAGTCCGCCCTGGCCGGTGTGGCTCAGTGGATAGAGCATCTGCCTGTGGACCAAAAGGTCCTGGGTTCCATTCTGGTCAAGGGCAGGTACCTCGGTTGCAGGCTCCTCCCCGGCCCGGGCCCTGGTCGGGCACATGCAGGAGGCAACCAATCGATGTGTTTCTCTCACTTCGAGTTTCTCTCTGTCTCCCCCTCCCTCTTCCACGCTCTCTAAGAATCAATGGAAAGATATCCTCGGGTGAGGATTGACAACAACAAGTCCCAGGCAGGTCCACGGTCTAGTGCTTGAAACTTAAGCATCAGTAAATGTTAGCTGCTGTCGGTTTATTCCGAGGCCTTCGTGAATGCCATTTTATTGCAGCATCTTTGAGTCCCTTCTGCCCACCCTTGGGAAGGACGCACACCTGGATAAAGCTCAGGCAAGCTCACCCTGGGGTGCCATCACCTGGGAGTGCCGCGAGGCAATGCCCCCTCCCGTCTCCTAGAAGCTGTAGGTGGAGTGCTGACGGAGCTTACCTAGACAGCCCCCCTCCTCCATTGGTGTTTAATCGAAGTTGCAGAAAACGTGGGTGCCTGAGGCCCAGACAGTCCCAGTACTGAGTGTGGGAGAGGCATAGAGGGGCCGGGGCTGAGAGCTGGGCGAGGGGGGAACGGAGCAGCCCTTTGGCGATGGTCCTCCCTAAGGAGTCTAGGCCTGCTTGCGCTGGAGACCTGCATTACCTCTTGCTTTTAGGTAGAGATAGTTGCGATTGTTCGAGTTGCCTCTGTAGCAGGTGTAATGGCCACTGTGTTCCATTTCGGAGAAGTTGTCTAGTAGTAGGTGCTCCTCCTGTTGGTCGGTTAGTTGTACACCATTTCTTTCCCATTTTATTTGTTCAGAATCAGGGTCCTCAGGACATGTCACCTCCACCCTGGTTCCGGAGATGGAGACTTTAAATCCTGGGGGTGGAGAGAAGGGAGGGAAATGGGAAGAAGAAACCAGTAAGGTTTCAGGAAATGCAAAGTAGCAACCAAAGAGCCAACCAGATGCAGAAAGTCATCTGTCATTCGGGTCTTAGATTTTGTTGTCAAAAGGGAACTCTGCTGGCTGAAGGGCATGACAGCGGGGTTATGCAAAAGGGAGGCCAGTCATGGCCAGTGTGTTCAGTGGTTAGGGCGTCAGACCACACATGGAAGGGTCTAGGGTTGGATTTGCTCCCTGTCCCCGGTTGGGGAGTGTGCAGGAGGCACCCGATCAATGTGTCTCTCTCACATCGATGTTTCTCTTTCTCTCTCCCCGCATCCCTCCCTCCCTCCCCTCTTTCTTTTCTCTCTGAAAAGCAACGAAAAAAAAAATCCTTGGGTGAGGATTAACGAAACAACAACAAACACACCCCCCCCCCCCGCCCGCACCCCGCAAAACAGGGACTAGACAACTTTTTGAAAGTGACTTTAGGTGTGGACATGGGGACTTGGGAAGGAGAGAATGGAAGCAAAGAGAGACGATGGAAGTCCCTGCTTGCAGTGCTTCTGAAACAGGAGTTGGGAAGATACTGTGGGAAGGGCCTCCGTTCTCAGGAGTATCTCTCATTCGACTCCTTTCCTTCTGTCCACACTGACTCGCACCCTTGCCAGGCACACCTCAGCGAAGGGCTGACTTACTCTTTAGAGGAGGTGGAAAGTCACCTGGAAGTGAGAAGAGGAGAGAATGGTCAGGAAATACCCTGGTTTAAGTTTAAGTTGTAGGTAACGTTTTTCAAGTGAGACTGGACACTGTCCCCAGGGATTCCCACAGAGGCCCATCCTCAGGGTGCCCTGAGCCTTAAAGGGACATATGTAGTTAGTCCATGGGGAACTTTACAGATACAACTCACATCCATCAAATTGAGGATATACCAGTGTGTGCCCTTAAATTATGGGAAGCACTATATACATTTTAAGGGAATGGTTCTTCCAATAAAAAGTGGCTTTATTTTAAATGTTCCTGAATATTATCAACTCCCAATTATTTTGTTAGAGGGAGGACGACTGAAATCCCTATTGAGTTGGGGATCCAGCACATTCCCCAGAGCGGGCGACTTCCCCCCGGGCTGCGGGGCTGCGGGGCTGCGGGGCTCGTTTCTTCAAAGACTTGTGGCTGGGACCCTGGCCTGCACTAGGCTGTGCTTTAGCCTGGATAGGGCAACTGGAAGAGAGGAGAGGGGGTGGCGCAAAGGGACAGCCTGCTCAGCTGGTGAGGCTCAGTGGTTGAGCGTCGACCTATGAACCAGCGGGTCACGGTTCAATTCGTGGTCAGGGCACATGCCTGGGTTGCAGGCTAGATCCCCAGTAGGGGGCATGCAGGAGGCAACTGATTCATGATTCTCTCTCATCATTGATGTTTTTCTCTCTCTCCCTCCTTCTCTGACATCAATTAAAAATATATATATATAGAGAGAGAGATCAGCCCTCTCTCTGTTGAGGGTGTTTTGCTACAGGTGCTGCTGGGGCAGGGCACTGGGCCGAGTCTGAAGTCCTGTGTTCGAATTCCAGATCTGCCTTAGGCTGTGACCAAGGGCAAGTCGTTTTAACTTCTCTAAGCCTCAGTTTCTATCTGGAAAATGGAGCTATAAAACCTCTACCTCACCAGTTACCTGTGAGGACTAGGTGGGTTATGAAGGCGAGAATGGGTGGAACAGAGCAGATGCGTGAGAACAAGGTGAGCTCTCCCCTCCTTCCCTGGAAGGTTCTGCTCCGTGGAGAACAGAGCGGCTCTCTGCTGAGGCCCCAGGGAATGCCAACAAGCGTTCCCCACGGTTCTCCGCCTGCTGCCAATTGGGAGCGGAGCATAACGACAATAGGCAGCGGTGTTATTTTGACTTAGGAATAATTTTTCAGCGCTGCCATTTTTTAGAAATGCTAAATAAAAGAGAAATCATACATAAAATAATTTAAAAGGAAGTAGACATTTCACTGCTTGGTGTGTGGACAAGAAAGTGTAAAGAAAATGGTTCACAACTTTTATCGGCACAAATTTAGCAGCAGAGCCTAGACTTACACATGCTCACAACGGCCTAGATGTTCATGCTCAGGAGCAGGATCTGCTCACAAAGATTTGCTCGCACCCAGACACAGTGTTCATAGCGGTGGAGAACAGGGGCTTCAGGGTCAGCTAAGCCTGCGTTTACGCTAACCTCTGTGATTGGACTATTTACTTATTTTCTAACCTTGGTTTTCTGTAGAATGGGGATGTTAGATGAGGAAACGGGTAAAATATTTAGGGTAATATCCAGAACATCCAGGCTCAATAAGCTTCAATGCCCATTATCTAGGCTGCATGCTTCCCATATAATAACAGCTAAAATTCACCAACTGTCTTCCATAGCCCAGATAATATTCTACGAGAATTACTCCTCAACCCTCACAACAACCCTGCAAACCACGTTTCATTATTCTTTCCATTTTACACACGATGATGCTGGGGAACGGAGATGTTTCATAAATTATTAAAGAAACCCAGCAGGCCAGTCCTGCCAGGACTCAGATATGGCAGCTAACCTCAGAGTTAGACTCTCAGCTTGTCCTACGCAGTCCTCCCCTCTGCCTATAATACTCTTTTCCCCTAAAATACAAGCTCAATGTTTAAAACTCAGCTCAGGAATAACCCCACTGGGGAGCGCTCCCCAGCGACTCTCTGTAGAGTCGGCCACTCCTCTTTTTATATTTTACTTTACTCTGCATCTGCCCACCTCATAGCATACAACACACTATGCTACCACGCGTTTCTCTCTCACACAGGCCATTTGGTTCTTGAGGGGAGGGAATTAATGATGCGTTCATGTGTCTGATCACTCATTCACTCAAAGAATATGCATTGAGCACCTATTCTGTGCCCGGCCAGGTGACTCAGACACCGTCTCTGCCTGCAGTGAAGTCACGATTTACACAAACGCTTGTGGTGGCTCTGACCTCACCCACAGGCATCTTCTTCCCGGAGTGTATGCTCAGGGACACACGTGACAGCAACAAGCCCACACGCCCACTGCGAGAGGACCGCGCGTTTCCTCTAGCAGTTCTGGTCCTCAGTGTGTGTCATGGCGATTGTCCCCCACGACCATTTGGTTCCACATTTGAAAAGGGGTTGTAAAGAGCAAACATTCTCTTACCAATTTCTTTATTCTCTGAAAAAGAAAGCATGAGAAACCATTAGCAATACTTCTAGCGGCTGGAAGATCAGATCCTGCTCCCCTGGGAGAGGTCTCCAGATGCCCAGGGCCACATGTGAAAACGGGTTGGGGCCCTACGTCCTACATTAAACAACTGACGGTCATTTACACAAATGAATTCTGAGTGATCGTTTCACAATTCATATTCCGGATCATCACCTTGTACACCGTAAACGTACACCAGACTAGCTGTCACTCTGTCTGGAGAAAGCGGGAGAAGCAGACCCAGCCCGTGTGCTGAGGAGGTCTGCGCTGAACGTAAACCAAATCTGAACGAAATCAACTCTAAACGGCCATAGCCTGCGGAAGGGAGAGCCACCCTGGAACAGATCCGTGCGTCGGACACACCCCGTTTGTCAATAATGAACTTTAAAGCACGCTGCGTGGAAAAAAAGAGAAAGAAAAGAAAAGATCCCGAGGACACTGACACAGCAGGCCGCACGTGACCGCCTGGACACAGAGCCGCGCCGCGCAGTCTGGAGGAGCCGATTTACACCGGGACACTGACTCCACTGCTCCCACTGAGACCGGCAGCGCAGGCCAGGCCCACGCGTAGCATGTGCACACACGCGCGCGCACGCGCACACACGCGCACACATGCGCGCACACACGCAGAGTATTACATACCCTCCTCAGCACCTCACACCAACTAGGGATGCAAGCAGTTAGATGGTTGGCACTTTCGCTGATGTAATAGTCCTACTTGCTTCCTTCCCAATGGTCAGGACTCACTAGTTCCTACGGTCTCTGTGACCTCCCTCCCCCGGCCACAGCCAGGCCTTCTCCAGACTTCGGAAGGAAAAGCAAAGGACCAGGTGGCGGCAACCCCTGCTACGTGTGGGTGGAAGCCTGTGGGAGGCCCGCTCCCCTCACACACATGAAGAATGTGGGGGATTTCATAACAAGGAAAGAACGCGTATCTCACCTTCTTGCCCCCAAGCGCCAACTGGAAAAAAATAAGAAAACAGAGTTAGTCAGCGTGTGGTGCCTGCAGTTCCAGGCAGAGCGCCTGTCCTGTCTGACCCTTTCCGAACACCTGATCGTCCTGCCCACACCCTGCGGGTGAGTCACTCCTGTACCCCAACTCCTGGCCAATCCGGGGTGAAGCAGAGCAAGACAGCATCTCGCACTCAACCCGAAAACACAGCATTTGACAAACAGGAGTTAGACAAGGCCGGGCAGCTTTTTGGGTGAGGCAGAAACGGCAGCCACGCCTTCAGGGTGGAAACTGGTCTCTGACCCCGGGAGGCCCACGAGCTCTGGGGAGGGGCGGCGTTGGGCGTTCTCGTTCCTGCTCCTGCTGGCCGATGTCTCAGTGTTTCCATTGGTTGGTTTTGCATTTGGGAGATGGACATGTTTGAGGGTCTGGTTACTCACGGATGCAGCCTGGTCCCTCCCAGGCCCGGCCCTCGCTCTGCAGTAACTGGGATTCGGCACCCTGACCAGTTGCCCTGGGTTTGTTTGCCTGAATGTCTCTGTGTACCCGGCCCCTCTAACCCAAAGCCCCCACACTGGCTGAGACCACACCTCTGCCCTCTCCCACACCCACAGCAGGTGGGCACAGCCTCCTGGGGCCAAATGGCCAGGAGAGCCTGGGTCTTTGATAATCTCTCTCCCTCCTTCCCTCCCTCCCTCCCCCCTTCTCTCTCTCCCTCCCTCCCCCTCCCTCTCCTTTTCTCTGCAAAGCACCCTTTGCCCTACAGGCCTCTAAGGGAAACGCCCCGCTACTTCCTCAGGAGCCACTCCAGCCCCTGACACTCAGTACGTGTCCCTGGGACCAGGACCAGGACCAGGAGTGGACTGAGCCTGAGAGCCTTAGACACGCAGAATCGCAACCCCTATCCCAGCCCCAGCCCGAGCTGCAGCCGCACAAGGTCTGGGCCGTGTGTGCACATTCGAGACACTCAGGAAGGAGCAGGCCGTGCAGACCCCGCGGAGGTGGCTGAGGTGGGAGCCCCCCGGGGGCACTTCCCAGGGCCCTGAAACCAGGCTCCGGGAGCCATCGCCCCTCTGTGTGCTGCCACTAAGGACGCAGCCTGCAGCCAGAGGCAGCTCCCGGGTCAGCTCAGCACTCCCGTGTGGTTTTAAACAAGTTCTTTAACCTCTGTGAGGATCGGTTTCTTCATCTACAAAATAGGAGGCGATGTTTACCTTCCAAGATGGAGGTGAGGATAACCTGGTTAGTACATGTGAAGGTTTTTTTTTTTTACAGAGTATCTAGAACTCAGTAAATGGCAACCTTAAAGAAATGTATCTTATATGAGATACTGGAGGCCCGGTGCACGGATTTGTGCACAGGTGGGACCCCGTGGCCCAGCCAGCGGGGGGAGGGACTGCGGGAGGTTGGCTGTGGGAGCGCACTGACCACCAGGGGGCAGCTCCTGCATTAAGCGTCTGCCCCCTGGTGGTCAGTGCACATCAAAGCGACCAGTCAACCGGTTGTTTGGTCGGCCGGTTGTAACGGTCACTTAGACTTTTATATATAGAGATTGAAAACACTCTTGGTTACTCATCCATTATTCCGCTTTGCTTCACAAAGGACTACACCGTGGAAGCTCTTGAGTCACTGAGAAGAACCGAAAACTATGGGGTGTTTTTCTGTCTCGTGGGAAGCTGGCTACATCCTGCGCAGAGCTGGGGTTCAACCAGCCAGCACCCCCCCGCCAAGGAGCACCCTCGGCTCTGCTCATCGCCTTCAAATCAGCTCCCAGGGGCTGGGAGTCCAGGGACAGGAGGAGCTCCTTCTTGAAGGCAGAGCCCGCTTTCAGGAGAGATGATCACCCCATTCCTTTCCTTGGCTGCTCCCCGATGGGTCTGAGGACCCGGCCACGTTTCCCTGTCAGCCTCCAGCCCAGCTACCGTGGCACACACAGCTCCTTACACCTCCCAGTGCCTGCCGCCCCTGGCACCTCTGGGCGGCACCAGGGTAGGCGTGGGCCTTGCCCTTTTCGTTCAGTCCTACTCACCGGATAAGAGGCAGAGCCCCAGGATGTGCCAGAGCTTCCTCGACGGCATCTTCCTCCCCCTGGACGCTCACTGAACGGAGATGGCGCAGGCCCGCTGGCCTAGTGCTTCTGGAAGAGAAACCAAAGGCCTTTTGCGCAACCCCCGCTGAGGACGAGGCCCGGGGCGCTGCTCCCAGTGCTGGGCTGGGAAGGGGCCTTTGGAAGAGGGAGACGCACCATCACCCGAAGCAGGCACCAGGGCTGGGCGGGGAGGCGAGTTCTGAGCCGACACAGGAAGTTGGGGGGTGGGGAAGCCTTGGGCCTGCTGGGCTCAACGTCACTTGGAAACGGTTGGTGGAGGCAGAGGCAGCCACCTGTGTTGGTGGGGAGCTGGGCCTCATCTCTTTTCCCAGGACAAGCAAGAGGACTGGAAAAACTGAGGGTGCGGTGAACAGTACATGCCATTTAGCTGCTGGGGCTGGCACAGTGCACCCCCATATTGGAGACCCCTTCCCAAACACCCCTCCCCCAAACGAGTTGTGACAGGAAGAGAGGAGCTCTGTGTGGTGTGGGCTGGGAGCAGTGGGTGCTGTGATCTTACTGACAAAGCTGTTGGCTTAAAAACACATGTTGGCTTAAAACCATGAGAGGCCATTTTTCTGGCCTATAATATTTATAAAAATGCTTAAAAACATAAAATTCAACGTTGGAGAGGGTAAAGAGTGAGAGTGTCAAAATCTGCTGGTGTGTATAGACTAATACAGCCTTTCTTGATTGTTAACCATGCATGAATCACATGCTTATTCTACACCAGGCACCATGCTAAGGGCTTTACCAATATATCTCATTTAATCCTCAAAACAACCTGTAAGGTAGGTATTATTATCCCTACCTCTTACTCTAGCAAACGGATGCTCAGACAAGTGACCTAACTTGTTGCAGAGCTGAAATCTTAGTAGATGCTTCGGCAAAATCCATTTATTTAGTCAATATTTAATGTCTCCTGTGCTGTAGTGTATGCTAGGTACTAGTCACATAGCAGTAATGTGCTAGCTAGTCCTTGTGGAGAATGAAAAGGAGTGTGGACACTAAACAGATTATTTCAGGGGGTTGACAATGAGAAAGAGAAAAGAGATGCTGTAGGAGTGATGGAAGGGAGCCTAACATAGTCCAGGAGGCAGAGAAAGTCTTGAGGTTGACATCTGAGCTGATCTGTGATGGGTGAATAGGAGTGAACCAGGTAGCGGGGAAAACAGTGAACTATTCCAGATGAACTCCTTTAACTTTTTCTTGTCTAAGCTCTTTATCTGCCCTTCAATTCTAAATGATAGCCTTGTTGGGTAGAATAACCTTGGTTGTAGGTCCTTGCTTTTCATCACTTTGAATATTTCTTGCAATTCTCTTCTGGCCTGCAAAGTTTCTGTTGAGAAATCTGCTGACAGTGTTATGGGTGCTCCCTTGTAGGTAACTAACTGCTTTTCTCTTGTTGCTTTTAAGATTCTCTATCTTTAACTTTGGCATTTTAATGATAATGTGTGTTGGTGTGGGCCTCTTTAGGTTTCGCTTGTTTGGGAGTCTCTATGCTTCCTGGACCTGTAAATCTATTTCTTTCACCAGGTAGAGGAAGTTTTCTGTTATTGTTTTTTTCAATTTCTTGCTCTATCTTCTCTGTCATGATGTAAATGTTGGTTTGCTTGAAGTTTTCACAAATGCCCCTTACACTATCCTCATATTTTTGGATTAGTTTTAAAAAATATATGTTTTTATTGATTTTTAGAGAGAGATGAAGAGAGAGGGAGAAAGGGATAGAAACATTGATGAGAGAGAAAGACTGATGGGCTGCCTCCTGCATGCCCCCTACTGGGGATCGAGCCCACAACCCAGACATGTACCCTGACCAGGAATTAAACCAGTGCATGGGATGACACTTAACACCAGCTGGGCAATGGATTCCTTTTCTTTTTGCTGTTCTGATTGGGTGTTTTTGCTTCATTATATTCCAAATTGCTGATTTGATTCTTAGCTTCATGTACTCTACTGTTGATTCCCTGTAAATTATTATTTATTTCAGTTAGTGTATCATTCATTTCTGACTGGTCCTTTTTTATGCTGTTGAGGTCCTCATTAAGTTCCTTGAGCATCTTTATAGCTAGTTTTTTGAGCTCTACATCTAGTAGATTGCTTGTCTCCATTTTGTTTAGTTCTTTTTCTGGAGTTTTGTTCTGTTCTTTCATTTGGGACATGTTTCCTTGTCTCCTCATTTTGGCAGCCTCCCTGTGTTTGTTTATATGTATTAGGTAGAGCTGCTATGTCTTTCAGGCTTAATAGAGTGGCCAACTGTAGCAGGTGTCCTGTAGGGTCTGGTGCCACAGTCTCCTCTATCACCCCAGCTGGAAACTTGACATGTGCCCCTGTGTGTGCTGTACACCCTCCTATTGTAGTTGAGTCTTGATTGCAGTTGGCACATCAATGGGAGTAATTTACCCAGTCTGATCAGCTGCAAGGACTGGTTGTGACCACTGGCAACAGACCTCCAACCAACTTGGAGGATCAGCTGTGGAGGGCCCACTGCACAGAGCAGGACTTACTCCAGCAGGGCTCTGGTGCCGCTGAGTCTGCCCTGGAGCGTGTTGCTTATGGAGGTGGTTGGGTGCTAGTGCTTCTATGTGATCTGAAGCTCTCCACTGGGTGCACTGGATCTGAGGTCTCCCAGAAGGTGCAGGTCAAGGTCAACCACCATCTGTGTTCTGCCTGGGGCCACCAGACATAAGCTACAAAGCCATCTGCAGATGGCTGCTTCTTGTGCTGGGCTTGGAGGTGCCCAGGTGAGGCCAAGCTGTGAACCAAGGCTGGCTGCTATTAGTGCAGGGCCTAGGGCAGGGGTCCTCAAACTACAGCCCGCGGGCCACATGCAAATACAAATATTGTATTTGTTCCCGTTTTGTTTTTTTACTTCAAAATAAGATATGTGCAGTGTGCATAGGAATTTGTTCATAGTTTTTTTAAACTATAGTCCAGCCCTCCAATGGTCTGAGGGACAGTGAACTGGCCCCCTGTTTAAAAAGTTTGAGGACACCTGACCTAGGGCAACTTAGGTAGATGTATAGGGCTCCCTTAGGCCAACTGCAAAGACTGACCGTGACCACTGACCATTGACCTCCAACCACCTTGTGGACCCACTTGTTTGAGAGATTTTAGGAAAATCTGAAGCATGAGCCAAGACAGGCCATTCTTATAGTAAAGCCCCTGGAAACAGCTTAGGTGGGGTGGAAAGTGGTGTGGGGAAGGGTCTCAGGGAATCACCATGGTGGGGAAAACAGTGTGAGCCAAGTTGATGGAGTCTCAGGTGTGGTGTCCACCTGCGGCTCTGGGGCAGGGCTCAGAAAAGGAACAATGGCCTCTGCCAGCACTTCTGTCTGGGAGAAAGCTGCCCCTCCAGCTCTCGCCCAGATGCCAAACAATTCAGTTCCTCCCCACATGTCTCTGGTGCCTTTCAATCTGCTGGAACCCAGAGGGAGGGAATGAATCCAGGTAAGTATGTGTGCAGGCCCTTTAGGAGGAACTGCCTGGGACTCTAGCAGCTTCAGCCTCCCTCAGCCTCAATCTCCACTGGGTTTTTTTTTGGTGTGTGTGTGTGTATGTGTGTGTGTGTGTGTGTGTGTGTGTGTGTGTGTGTTTTACAGCCAGAAGTTATGGGGACTTCTCTTCCTGGGATTGGAACCCTAGGCTGGGGTGGGCCTGGGACCCCTCACTCCTCAGGGGGGACTTCCACAACCAAGGTATCACTACTGATTTTTATCAGCCACACATGGGTGTGAGACCAGCCCTATCCATGCCTCTACCCCTCCTATCAGTCTCCATGTGGCTTCTTTAATTTTATAGTTGTAGGACTTCCATTCAGCTCGATTTCAGGAAGTTCTGAATGGTGGATTTCTGTAGTTTAGTTGTAATTTTGAGGTGGTAGTGGGAGGAGGTGAGCACTGTGTTTATCTATGCTGCCATCTTGGCTGGAAGTCCCTCTGTGTCTAAATACTTTTGTTATCAAGTGGGTCCCATGGTCTGTTGGGATTCTAGACAAGATCCAATGCTGATGGATCAGACAATATGTGAACTCTTGGATAGCAGGGCTAGCTGAGGCATTGCAGGCAAGGACATCAAACCCATATCTATATGTATCAATTTCTATCAAATGAAATGAGCATTTTGGGGGAGGAGTACAATTTAATCAACTTGTCCAAGAAGTGACTGGTTGGTTTCCCCCAGGGATGGTTCCAAATCGGATGCTCAGCATTGGACTCTGTTTTGGCAGCAGCAGTAGGTAGATCAGCCCTGGTGAGTGGGAGTCCATACTGTTGGAGCCCTAATGTCACCATAGCTACTACACTCATAACCACTGTCCTGCATTGGGGTGATTAAGGACAGAGGCTAATTGGCATTAGCTGGCCAAGTCATTTTCTTCTACTTTGTGTGGTAGTGTCTCTTCCATGATGAACATCTCTGGTGTGTTAACATGTGACACAAAGATCTTCACACTTTATTATTACTCCCACAGGTCCATACACAAGCCTCTTCTCTATATTTCCTTGCCCCAATCTTCTAATCTTACCCATTCTAGGCCCCATTCCCAAGATCTCCAAGCACTTGCCGTGACTTGCTTCCTTGATTTGGTTAGCAGGATGCCTCGGAGGCAGGGAAGCAATGCAATGCTCTGAGGAATGTCCAGATTATCCAGGACTCTTCCAACTGTGTTATGACAGAGTGGACACAGCCCCGGGCAAGACCAAGACAGTATATTGTTGTGTGTGTGAATGCTTTAGTACAGATATTACATTTGGCGCAGTGGCTGCGACTGGGACAAGTACTTGGCTAAGTTTGAAGTAGTCCACTCATGCACATGAATTCCTCATGTTTTGCAAAGGCCAGATTAGTGAGTTAAATGGGGAAGTGTTAGGACCACCATCCCTCATCCTGTAAGCCTTTTAGAATGGCACTAAACTCTACCTTTCCCTTTAGGATGCAATATTGTTTTCTTTAAAAATATATTTTTATTGATATCAGAGAGGAAGGGAGAGGGAGAGAGAGATAGAAACATCAATGACGAGAGATCATCATCGATCAGCTGACTCCTACACGCCTCTTATTGGGGATCAAGCCCTCAACCCAGGCCTGTGCTCTGACCGGGAATCAGACTGTGATCTCCTGGGTTCATGGGTCGATGCTCAACCACTGAGCCACGCCGGGCCGGGTGCAATATTGTTTTTTATTTACAATCTTAGCT